CCCGCCGCCGAGCCTGCGCCCCCCGCCGCCGCCGCCACCATCGCCGCCACCGCCGTCGTCGCCCCCACCTCGACGGTTGCCGTGGCCCCTGTCGCGTCCGCTTTGGAGAAGAAGACAAAGAACAAGGGGCCCTATATCTGTGCTCTGTGCGCTAAGGAGTTCAAGAACGGCTACAATCTCCGCAGGCACGAGGCCATCCATACGGGAGCCAAGGCCGGTCGGGTACCCTCGGGTGCCATGAAGATGCCCACCATGGTGCCCCTGAGCCTGCTGAGCGTGCCCCAACTGAGCGCAGCCGGCGGGGGTGGGGGTGAGGCGGCTGCCGGCGGGGGCGCGGCCGCAGTGGCTGCAGGTGGCGTAGTGACCACGACGGCCTCCGGGAAGCGTATCCGGAAGAACCACGCTTGCGAGATGTGCGGCAAGGCCTTCCGCGACGTCTACCACCTGAACCGGCACAAGCTGTCGCACTCGGACGAGAAGCCCTACCAGTGCCCAGTGTGCCAGCAGCGCTTCAAGCGCAAGGACCGCATGAGCTACCACGTGCGCTCACATGACGGCGCTGTGCACAAGCCCTACAACTGCTCCCACTGTGGCAAGAGCTTTTCCCGGTGTGCAGGGGCCTCATCGCCGCGGGCCACGGGCCGCGGGGAGGGAGAGAGGGAAGAAGGGAGGGGCGGCCTCGGAGGTGGCCTGGTCCCCGGCTGGTGGGAGGGAGGCGGCTCCGGACGCTGGGAAGGGAAGCCACTCCCAGGGTTGGAGAGCGGATGGCCTCGCCAGTTACCAGGCAGCGGGGGTGGGCCCGCGGGTGGGCGGGAGCAAAGGAGGCTGGGCGAGGGGCGGGATTTCCTGCCGGGCCAGTGCTTAGCTTCGGGAGAAACCCTTTGGCAAGCCTGGCGTGGAAAGCCAAGCAGATTTGTGGCACGCACCCCAGCCCTAACCCCATCCCAACATGTTCCCAGGCCGGATCACCTCAACAGTCACGTCAGACAAGTGCACTCAACAGAGCGGCCCTTCAAATGTGAGGTAGGAAGCCCGCCTCTTCCTGTCTTGGTTTTTCACGATTTTGATCCTCATTGTAGCTGTCTGAGTTCAGCCTCTCAGACCCCCTTTTTCTCTCTCTTCTTTTTGCCTTTTCACTCCATTCTCTCATTTCTTCTTCAAGGCCTCATCTCACTCCCATTTCCTGCAGATCAAAGATCCCCAAGGCTCTGAGCCCTTTAACCTCTTGCTCCCTTCTCCCTACTCCTGGAAGCTTTAACTCTCCTGTGACACCCCCCACGCCCCTCCCCCCTCCCCAGAAATGTGAGGCAGCTTTTGCTACGAAGGATCGACTCCGGGCACACACAGTACGACACGAGGAGAAGGTGCCATGTCACGTGTGTGGCAAGATGCTGAGCTCAGCTTATATTTCGGACCACATGAAGGTGCACAGCCAGGGCCCTCATCATGTCTGTGAGCTCTGCAACAAAGGTACATGCGGAGAGATGCCAGGAGGGCTAGGGATGGGGGGCACACAGCTGGTGGCCTTTCCATGGATGCGGGTTTAAGGGTGCTGTAGCCAAGAGCTCGTGGCATTTAGAGCCCTTTAGAAAGCAAACAAAGTAGCACTGGGGACAACTGAACAATTACTGAATTATAAGGTGACATGGCTGGGGGAGATGACCTACCTGAGTCAGTCTCCTAGGTGTCTGTGGGGAGAATGAAGTGGGACGTGGATGCTTTGGGAAAGGAGTGGTCAAGAGCCAGTGCCTGAGGCTCAGTAAGCAAGGTCTCAGCTGTTCAGCCACAAGTTCTTGTCTCCAGTTCCTGGGGCAAGTAGAGTACGATGGCAGGAGTTGAAGAAACACACACCCTGCTCCAGTAGCAGAGAAAGGTCGTTGAGTAACGGGGCTCAGATGTGGGGCACTGGAGAGGTGGGACACAGCCGTCTCTGCTGAGAGTCTGCCGTTCAAGTAGCTAGGAATCAGGTCTGCTCACCCTAGGAGAGATCTACTGGCCATGTAGAATGAGCTCTGTAGGTACCAAGGCTGAGGCATAGACACAGCCCAAATTAGCCTCAAGTTGGGGGGCTGTGCCCCAACCGAGTAGCTGGCCCCAGGCTACCAGAATGTGGGAGGAGGACAGGGTCACCTGAAGAGGCTGTCCCCAGCCTAGGAGAACAACCCCGTCTCTGGGGTCTCCACCAGGCTGACCCCCATTCCCCAATCCCAACCCCCCCCATAGGCTTCACCACAGCAGCATACCTGCGCATCCACGCGGTGAAGGACCACGGGCTCCAGGCCCCGCGGGCAGACCGCATCCTGTGCAAGCTGTGCAGCGTGCACTGCAAGACCCCTGCCCAGCTGGCCGGCCACATGCAGACCCATCTGGGGGGGGCCGCCCCCCCTGTCCCGGGAGATGCCCCCCAGCCACAGCCCACCTGCTGAGGGGGACCCCGCACCCACCAGGCAAGGCGTGGGGCATGGCTGGGGGGGCAGGATGGGGTGTGTGGGACACGGGGGTCAAAGGTCCCACTAGGGGATCTTAGGAAGGCCAAAGAGACCCATCTTTTGCTCAGGTTAGGGAGATTTGGGGGCCAGGGAGGGCCCTTCAGGAGAACTCCCTCATGTCTAGGAAAGGAGGCAGACCAGAGCTTTGGGAACCCGATAGGAAGTGAGCAACGGCTGTGTCCCAGGGGAAGTAGTCTGGGGCAAAGGGATAATGGCTCTTGCCATTCAGGTTGCGCTGTGATGGTGGTGTTTCTCACTGCAGGTACTGGTGAGGTATGTCCAATGGCGGCGGCGGCAGCAGCAGCAGCGGCGGCGGCGGCAGCAGCAGCAGCGGTGGCAGCCCCTCCCACAGCTGTGGGTGCCCTTTCTGGGGCCGAGGGGGTGCCAGTGACCTCTCAGCCACTTCCCTCCCAGCCCTGGTGAGCTCCAGGTTGGTGGGGGGAGAGGAGTGGAGGAAAGCCCTTTGGTACAGTCTCCTCTCCCCGTCTCTCTCCCTACCAACTCCTCACTAGTTCCCTCCAACCAAGGAGCCTCCAGAAAGAATGGAGGAAGAAATGCATTCTTAGGGCAACTCACTAGGTTTTAACGATTTGTTTCTCCTCTCCTCTCCCAGTCAGAGCTGACCCTACACACACCTGTCCCTCACTTGGGTTGAAGTCTCATGGACAGTGGGCAGGGGTGTTAAAGGACAGGAGCGACCACTGCCCGTATCCCCTCTTCTCCTTGTGACCCTCTGCCCTCCTAGGGATTTGTGAGCCTTCTCCAGTGGTCCTTGCTCCCCTCCTTCTGGTCCTCTTCCCCCTACTGTCTGCTGCCCCTCCCTGGGGAGTTGGTGCTTTTTTTTTTTCCAGGGGGAGAGAGGAGAGGAAGGAGAGGAATCAAAGACTGTTCTAAAGAGGGAGAACAGTGAGTTTGAGAAGAGACAGAAGCCGGGAAGGCAGAGGTTATATCTTCATAAGATAGGCTTGTTGGGGTTAGGCCCTAAACATCGTCCTACTTTAGAGTCTGTCAAGGGGGGAAAAAGTCAAGGGGATCAAAAGAAGGAGCCACTAGGGCCAGAGGCAGAATAGGAGGTGGAATCTTAGGGGGCCAGGGTAATGGAGTGGAAATGGGGACTAGAGGTGCTTCCTGGGGGCCAGGGAAATGCAGCCACAGTGTCTCGCCCTTCCCTCTTCCACTCCAGCTCCAGCCCTGGTCTTTTCTTTTCATCCTTTTACCCCGTGACAGAAGCTGTGGCCCTGGCCATGTCATCGTGTTCCTGTGTCCCCTGCATGTTTCCCACCCTTCACTCCCTTTTGCGCGGGCCCCGTTACAATAAATTTTAAATAAAAACCTGGCTCTGGGTGTAGGTCAATGAATTGCCCTCACTAAGGGCAATTTTCCCCGCCCCAAGGGGTTTCTCTGCCATCTGAACCTTGCCCTGCACTGGGCTCTGGGACCTCCCTCCTCCCTCGGGCCGTTGGGGGAGGCTCCAGGGGCTGTGGAAAGGAGGTAAGGACTTAAGGATTCTAGGGAACCAGCCAGTTTGGGCCTGCCCAAAATAGCCTCCGAGGTCTGAGGAGGCCGGAGTTAGACATCCAGTCTGCTGGGATATCCTGGCCGTGCCCACTCTTTGCTACTCCAGACCCTGGCCCAACATCTGCACACCCTAAAGTCACAAAGGTGGTGTACTTCGAGAAGTTTTTTAAGGGATTCGGGCCCCAAACCGAGAGCAGTAAGAAGAACTTGCACCGGACCCCCAGTGCTGGGCATGGCGCCCCGCCTTACACAGCTCGTGGACCAACCCTTTTTGCTGTCCCCGCAGCGTCTGCTGTGCACTATTCTTCCCAGGCTCCCTTTCCTGAGCCTGCTAGTGCTCGTGTCGCTTGGAAGACTTCCTATTCTGCAGGCTCCCTTCTCTTGAGACCCCGCCTTGCTCCTCTTCTGCAGTCTTCCAAGTTTGGCCCCGTCTCCCTTCCCCTCTGCTGTAGGGGCGCCACCGCCCTGTCTTGCTCTGGTCCTGATCTCATCTCAGACCCTGGTCTCTCTGCCCCGGCCCTTGGTGACCGTTGGCGGGAGGGGCTGAGGATCTTGGAAGGGGGTGCCCCCTCGAGAGGTGCACGTGGGTAGGGGCAGGGAGGGGCAATAGTGGTCCCCAGCCGTTGCCTGGGTAACGCTGGGCCTGGCACGCGCGGCTTCTTCGGGCTGGCCGGGAGGGGCTGGAGGCGTGCGAGGGGCGGGGGCGGCGCGCAGCGGCAGCAGAGCGCAGGGGAGGGGACCGGAGGAGAGGGGACCGTCTCCTCCCTCCAGCGCTCACTGACTCGTCCCTTCTGGGCTGCGGCTGTTGCAACGGCGGCGGCGGCTGGAGCCGTCCGGAGACCGGCGTCGAGGTGAGGTTGGCTGGACCTGAGGCTGCGGGTAGGAGGGGATGGACAGACAGACTAATGCTCGGGAATGCGGGCGCCTGGTGAGCTGGAGGGTGGTGCTGGGCGCGCCGCCCAGCGCTTGGGGAGGAGGGCAGGCCCGCCGAGGGTGAGGGAATCCCCGAGAGAGCGGTCGAGAAGGGACTTCCGAGATGTCTGGGACCCTAAGGGAGGGGCGGGGGCGGCTGTGACCCAACACGCAGCAAGAAAACCAGCCCTGCCTGCGAGCCCAGGGAGGTGCAGGAGCGGTGTGTATGTGGGGTTCCCGGTTTAGTCTGTCAGAGCGTGTGGTGTCCGCACAGCTTGTTGATTTGGGGGTGCTTTGGCATCTGCTAGGATCGGAAAGTCTGGATCGTGCTGGGTGCACCAGGGAGAGAGCCTGGGGAGGGTTCTGTTTATAAGCGGGTTTATCTTCTTGGAGCTCCCCAAGCAGAAGACGGAGTAGAACACTTCTCCCCAGAGAGGTCCAACCCCAAGGCAAAGGAAACCCTAACTTTTCTTTTCCCAGAGACAGCACAAGGCTGACCCTGAGACAGGTGCCTGGTGCTGTGGGGCTCCGCAGTCCCGAGAGCCCCTCTCCCTGCTCACACCAAACCTGTCTCCTCCTCTTCTAGGATTTGCTACTGCCTTTGCCGTTCCCTCCTCCCCACAGGGGCCCTCTCCCCTCTCCCATCTCAAGATGGCAGCCAGCCCCTCAGAGGTCTCTGAGATGCAGGGGGTGGAAGCGAGTCCTGAGACCCAGGGAGAAGGGCCTGGCAATTCCGAAGCTGGAACTGGCCCTCCAATCCTAGCTGGGGTCCCAGCCCAGCCAGAGGCTCCGCAGCCAGGCCCAGACATAACTGCAGCCCCTGTGGACTTGGAGCCCAATATTGGGCAGGCTCTAGAAACCACAGAGACCCCAGCTGGGGACCCAGAAACAGCCCAGGCCACAGACCTCAGCTTAAGCCCAGGAGGGGAATCAAAGGCCAACTCCAGCCCTGGAGAAGCATCCCAAGAGCCAGCACCCAAAGCAGCAGTGAACAAAGAGCCTACTGCAGACCAGGGGGCAGAGCAGGCGTCCGCAGCCCCACCTGAGCCAGGCTCAGCACCTGCTCCCAAGCCAGAGCCCCAGTCAGACCCTCAGCCAATTTCCCAGCCCACCCCCAAACCAGTCCTTCAACCAGAGCCCCCTACCCAAGAGGACCCCACCCCTGAGATCCTTACCGAGAACGTGGGGGAAAAGCAAGAGAATGGGGCAGTGGTCCCTCTGCAAGCTGGTGATGGGGAGGAGGGCCCAGCCCCCCAACCTCACTCACCCCCCTCAACGAAACCCTCCCCAGCAAATGGGGCTCCTTCCCGGGTTCTGCAGCAGCTTGTTGAGGAGGACCGAATGGGAAGGGCTCATGGTGGGCATCCAGGATCTCCCCGAGGTAGTCGAGGTAGTCTGAGCCGCCACCCCAGCTCCCAGTTGGCAGGGCCTGGGATGGAGGGGGGTGAAGGCACCCAGAAACCTCGGGACTACATCATCCTTGCTATCCTGTCCTGCTTCTGCCCCATGTGGCCTGTCAACATCGTGGCCTTCGCTTATGCCGTTATGGTGAGCCTCAGGGGACCCTGACCTAGGTCTGCTGTGGCTCTCTGCTTCCTGCCAGTGCTAGGTCAGAGCCCCCAAAGCGACCGAGCCTTCCCTTCCCTCTCTGCATGGACCCACTCCCCAAATTATGGGACTGTTTGCCTCTCCCCAGGACCCAACCCTTCGGCAGCTGCTGGCCTACCCCTTCAGGTGGGAGGGATCCGGACACTTGGTTCACACAGCCTCACTGACCTTCCCGGTCCTTCTTCCTCCCTTACTTCCACGGGCTGGCCTCTTCTCTGGACGACTTTCACCTGATCCCTGCTGGGCTGGCTTCTACTGACCTGGGCCATGGTCATGGTCCATCCCTCACCCTAACCCCAGTCCCGGAACAGCCTGCAGCAAGGGGACGTGGATGGGGCCCAGCGCCTGGGCCGAGTGGCCAAGCTCTTAAGCATCGTGGCATTGGTGGGGGGGGTCCTGATCATCATTGCCTCCTGCGTCATCAACTTAGGCGGTGAGTGGGGGTCAGGGACAGGCAGGGGAGGAGCGGAAGGGTTGACAAGGGCAGCTTTACTAACCCCTGCCCCTGCTTTCTCCTGTCTGTTCTCCCTACTTCTTTGTCTCTCTTGTCTCCCCCCCTTTCCCTCCCCTGTCTCTGTCTGTCCTTCCCTCTCCTCTCCCACAGTGTATAAGTGAGGGGCCCTGCCCTGCATTCCAAGACTTTCCTTCCTGTTGGGAGCTGCCTTGGGCCCATCCCTCCCATGGGGGGAGCCCAATCGATGGCCCTGGCCCCCATCCCTAGGGACCAAGGGAGCCTGAGCGGACTTGTTTACAGCTTCTTTCCTGCTCCTGCATCCTGCCAGGCTCCTCTGCCAAGCGTAGGCCTCCCTTCTCTGCACTGTTTCCCACTCCCTGCACTTCTGTCTGCTGATTGGTCCCCTCCAGCCTCTTGGCCTCCCTGACCCTGCACTTGTGGAAACCTCTCTGCACATCTCCCAAACTCTGTTCTCAGCAGCCCTGCTTCCCTTCCAGCCTCCCTGCACTTCCAGTCTCCCGATTTCTCAGAACTTTAACCCAGGCCTGTTCCCAACTTCCATTGTCTTGGCATCTAACCCATTCCTTTCCTTCCTCCCTTTATCATCTGTACCCCCTTTCCATGCCCTCCTTCCCTATTCTGCCTCTTCCTCATCCCTTAGCATCCTCTTCACCTGCCTGCCACCATTTTTCTGCAAGAACTCCAGCACTTAGATCAGGCTGGGGGAGGTGGAGTGGTGTTTGGAGAGGGCTCCCTGGCCCGGGTGCCCAGTGTTCTTCGCTGGGGGCCCAGACCCTCCCGCCCCCCACCCTGCGCGCCTTTTGGGTCTCAGGAGACAAGCCAGCCTCTCCTGGGGACTTGTGCAAGGGAGTCCCGGTTCTAAATGCACCAGGGAGGAGAGAGGGTCTCAGCGCCTGAAGGTTCGGTGGGAGGTTTCAAAAGGAGCCGACCCACCCACTTGAGCTTTTAACCTTAAGAGTTTCTTGCTTGAAGGTATCAGGAAGGGGGGCTCGGGCCATTCCCTAAGAAAGGGGGGGAAAAAGGAAAAAAAAAAAAAAAAGGGACCAAAGCTCCCGCTGCTGGGAGCGACAGAGGAGCGGGGAGGCGCTATAATTATTTTCTAAGAGGCCCAGGGAGGTTCGTTGCGCGCGACAGCCTGCTGAGGAGGCAGAGAGCCAGCTGCGACGCGGTTTGGAGTTGGCGGAGTTTTTGTTTTCTTAAAAGTTGGGGAGAAAAACTAACATTCCTTTAAAACAAGACATATAAAACTGACTTTCCCCTTTGTATGCTGGATGCTGCATGAGTCTGAAACACCAATAAATGGAGACTGCATGAGACTCGGCTCACGTTAGTGCCTGCGTTCGTCCGCCCCGCCGTTCTTCTGCCTCCGGGCAGAACCGACTGGATGGTACACGCATGCGCCTTCGTGGTCCCCATCTTTACTGCGGGCGAAGCCGCCTCTGCCCGAGGCCCACCTGCGCATGCGCAAGCCATCCCTCGCTTTCCTTTCCCAAGTAGCTTCGACTGGAGCGGAGCCTCCCGCGCCATTTCTGCGCGCCTGCGTACTGCCGCTCTGCGCAGCCGGGGAGGCGGGTCGTAGCCCAGGTGCGTACGGCGGTTGAGCTGACGTGGCCCGAGCTGCGGGGTCAGGGCGGAGGGCGCTGGCTCCCCGCGCGGACAGGGGCAGAGCGAAGGCGGGAAGAGTGGGCCCGCCCCTCCGCAGCTCGGAAAGGGGCTTCTGCGGGCGCCCCGAGAGCGGCGCTGCGGGCCTGCGGGGCGGGGCGGGGCCCTCCGCTGCGGGGCGCTCGAGCGCCCCCTCCTGGGGGCGGGCGCGCTCGCCGCGGAGGCGGCTGTTGGAACCTGATTGGCTGCCGCGGATTTCCTAAAGCTCCTGGGGGACCCAGTCCCTTGGGGCGGGGCACCCCGGTTTGGTACTCCAGGGTCTCCCGTATTGCTGGGCTTCTTCCCCGGTGGCCCATGTCTCTCGCACGGGGTCATGGAGACATTGCAGCCACCGCAACGGCGCCTCTGTCTGAAGAAGGGGAAGTGACTTCCGGCCTCCAGGCTTTGGCGGTGGAGGATACCGGAGGCCCCTCTGTCTCGGCCAGCAAGGCCGAGGAAGAGGGGGTAGAAGGCCAGGAGAAGGCCGAGCGTGAGGGGTCGGGGGCCGAGGAAGCCAAAGGAGACGGCTCCAGCGCGGGAAGGGAGGAGCAAGCCGAGGGAGACTCGGAGGACTGGTGCGTCCCCTGCAGCGATGAGGAGGTGGAGCTGCCTACGGCTGGGCAGGCCTGGATGCCTCCGCCCTCCGAAATCCAGCGGCTCTATGAGCTGCTAGCGGCTCACGGCACCCTGGAGCTTCAAGCGGAGATCCTGCCCCGACGCCCGCCCACGCCCGAAGCTCAGAGTGAAGAGGAGAGATCCGACGAGGAGCCGGAGGCCAAAGAAGAGCTAGAGGAAAAGTGAGGACAGAGCTTTGCCCCCTGGGCTCCTGCCCCGGTGGCGGAAGGAAATAGCGAGGGTAGATCTTGGGAGGCGGAGGCCCGTGGTCGCTGCGCCTTTCAGGCCAGCCTGAACTATGTAGCAAGACGCTATCTCAAAAAAATAAAAACTAGAAAGTGGAAGGAGGGTGGAGAGCAGAAAAGGAAGATCTGCAGACTGGGGCAATGTGTGGGGGTGTTTGGCAGGGCTACCCTTATCCTTTACTGTCTGTCTCCCCTCCTGTCCCAGACCACACATACCCACGGAATTTGACTTTGACGATGAACCAATGACACCGAAGGACTCCCTAATCGACCGGAGGCGCACCCCAGGTACAGACAAGGGGGATGAGTTGGGAGATGAAGGCCTCCGCCTCCGTAAGAAGGTTTGCACATTTGCCGCACAGTTTATAGGAAAACACTTCCACACTGTTCTAGCTTAGGTCACTGCCCTGTCTTCACCACCACCACCAATACTTCTGTCATGTTTCCCAGTCGTCAGAAGTCCAAGTCCTCCTGGTCGTTGTTTTCTAGAGCCACATCCCTGAACTACTGTGTGCATCCCAGTTTCCCACCCCGCATGCCTTCCTTTTACCCAGTCATACATGCCAAGTCCTGTTAAGCTTTGCTGCACATTCCCAATCCATTAGGCCCTGTCCACCTCCAATACCAGACCTTTATCCCAGCCATGCTCTCACTTGCTTGGCGAGTTTCAGTAGCACCTCGCTTGTGTCCCCACTTCCACTTTCAGCAACCAGAGCAGTTTGTTAAAACCCTTGTTGCCCAGCGTGGTGGTGCACACCTGTAATCCCAGCACTCAGAAGGCTGAGGCAGGAGGATTGTTGTGAGTTCGAGACTAGCCTGGTCTACAAAGTGTGCTCAAGGCCAGCATGAACTGCATAGCAAGACCCTGTCTCATAGAGACCCCCCCCAAAAAAAAAGTCACTTCTGCACTTGAAATCCCCCAGAGGATTCTTTTTTTTTTTTAATTTTATTTATTTATTTGTGAGTGTGTGTGTGTGTGTGTGTGTGTGTGTGTGGCCAGCTCAGCCCACCAGGGGGCGGGGCTGGCTGGCATGTGGTGCTGGGGGATTGAACCTTGGTCCTTGTGCTTTGCTAAGCTTGCTCTAAGTAGGTGCTTTAGACCACTGAGCCATCTCACCAGCCCAAAAGGAAGTTTTTTGTTGTTGTTTTTGCGGAACCAGGGATTGAACTCAGTGCCTTGCGCTTGTCAGAGAAGCACTTATTCCACTGAGCCATCTCCCTGGCCCCTCCCCCAGAGGATTCTAGTGGAAGTGGGAGAGCACATAGAGAATCTGAGTCCCAGCCTTGCTTGTTGAAACATCTGTTTCTGCTCAGGGTCTTTACACCTGCCCTTCCCCTGCTTGGTTTGCTCTTACCCAGTCTTCACATTAAGACCTTCATTGCCTGTGCTGTGTGTGGCCCAACTTTAAACCTCACAGCCTTTTCATTGAGGCCCAAAAGCCTGGGTGTTAACCCAGCTTCTCAGCTGGTGAGTAAAGTCCAGGCAGCAGTGGTGTGCGCTGTCTCAACCCCTTCCATGTTTCCTACCTTCCTTGCTCTAGGGAGCTCAGCTCGGAGCCAGAAAAGGGAGGCCCGCTTGGACAAGGTCCTCTCGGACATGAAGCGCCACAAGAAGCTGGAGGAACAGATCCTTCGAACCGGGAGAGACCTCTTCAGTCTAGACTCAGAGGACCCCAGCCCAGCCAGCCCTCCGCTCCGGTCCTCGGGGAGTAATCTCTTTCCCCGGCAGCGGAAATACTGAAGTACTGATTCTTGCTGCTGCTGAGGCATTGTGCAGGGACTGACCTTGCTGGGGCCTGGGCGCCCTCCTAAGCGGACACTGGGAAACTTGGGAAGAAGAGGGAAAGCCAAGCTCGCAGCACAGCACCGTGCAGGAAAGAGTGTGTATGTGTCTTCTGTTGAACATCTTACTTTGAGACCTGGGTTAGGTTTTCTAAAATAAAAGGTGCGGTCGCGCTTAAGTAGAGAGGTAGTATTTCATTGACCCAAATCGGAAAACTAAGCCAGGTAAGACAGGCAGATTCAGCCAGCCAGCATCTGCCCTGTCCCCTTGGCTCGGGCATGTCCAGGCAGTGTTGTAAGCTGGCCCTCGAGCAGAAATGCCAGAGTGTGGAGTAAGCGCCCTTGCCTTCAGGGGCGACCAGTGCTGAAGGTGGCTCAGCTGACTGGCCCTTTAACTACCTCCGCCCACCCCGCCCTTTGTCCCCCCCCCAGCCCCGGGCTCCCCCGCCGGCCCCGCCCCTCCGGCCCCGCCCCCGGCTCGGCCCCACCCCGCTGGGCTCCCGGGTGTAATCCGCGGCGCCGAGCAAGCTTGTCCCCCCCGCCTCGCGGAGCGCCGCTGCTAGCCACTCTTGGAGATGTGAGTACTTTTCGCTGCCTCTCCTCCCCCGTAATGGTGGGTCTCTGAGCCTCCCGAAGTTGTTGTTAGCCCTGTCCTACCTTCTAGGGCCTTCTGCTGGGGTAGATAAGACCTCTCTGAATCAGAGCAGGGAGAAAGTGGAGGCTTTGCTATGGGAGGTTTTGCTTCCTTGGAGTTTTCCGGAATTTGAAGAAGGTAGATCAGTTGGTTGGGACACCCCCCCAAAAAAAAAATACCCTCAGGCTTCTGACTGCAGGGTCACAGGGAAGTAGGATGGGGCAGTACCAGGAATTGAGTCCTGGGCCTTCACTCTGAGTTACTTCCTGAGTCCTTTTCCCATTTTTTTATTATGAGGCTGGGCGTGGTTCCCCCCCCTGCACTCTGGAGGCTGAGTGGGGCCAGCCTGAAACGCATAGTGCAACCCTGTCTCAGAAAGATCCCTCTCCCAAAAGATTATTATTATTATTTTTCTTGGTGGAACCGGAGATTGAATTCAGGCCCTTGGGTTTGCCAGGGAAGCTGTCATTCTACTGAGCCATCTCCCCAGTTCCCCCCAAAAATTATTTAGAGATAGGGTCCCTAGATTGCTCAGGCAGGCTTCCCTGAGTGCTGGGATTACAGGCATGGCCACCTTGGCCGTCTAAATTGGTCATCTTCTGTTTGAGACAGGGCCTTACTATGTAGTTTAGACTGGTTTCATACTCTGCATCTCAGGATGGCCTCGAACTCCTGCCTCATCCACTCCAATGCGGGCATCATGGGTGTGTGCTCGCCACCATCTTGCTCAGGTGAATGGGTCATCTCAAAGTTACTTTCCTTCGACAGCAGGGACAGGGAGACAATTTTTTTTTGGGCAGTGGGGGATACTAGGATTTCACTCAGCACCTTGTGCTTGCCAAGCAGATGCCTGCACTGCTGAGCTCTCTCCCTGGCCCTAGGGAAACAATTTAAAAAATGACAATGGTTAACATCAAGTTACTTCTGGGTTTTCTTTTTCCCCCTCCCCCACCCACCTCCTGGTTTTTCTTTTACTTATTTTTTTTATGGTGAGAAAGTAGAACTTCATTATCATTTTGATTAAATTGCTCTATTTGGGGAAGCTGGCTGTTACCACGTTTCCCCTCAGTTACTGGAAGACCGCATGTCTTCATTTTGGTTTGATAATGTGGAACTTTAGCATGAGTGACTTCATTCGGATTTTCAGTCTAGTCTGTTGGTACCTAGTGCAGAAATACAGTCCAAAACAATGATCTGCTGTATTTAATAGAAGGAAGTAGGAAAATGGAATAAAGTCTCCAGAGTGCTGGGAGAAGATAACATCCCTTGGGAATTTTATTCCTCAAGATTGAGGACAAGAGGCTGAGGCAGGAGGGTCATCTTGAGTTCAAGGCCAGCATGGGCCACATAGTGAGTCCAAGGCCAGGCTGAAGTACATAGCAAGACCATATATCAAAAAATAAAGAGGGGCTGGTGAGATGGCTCAGTGGTCTAAAGAACCTACTTAGAACAAGCTTGGCAAAGCACGGGGACCACGGTTCAATCCCCCAGCACCACATGCCAGCCAGCCCCGCCCCCTGGTGGGCTGAGCTGGACACACACACACACACACACACACACACACACACGCACACAAATAAAATTTAAAAAATAAAAAAATAAAGGATGAGACTGGGGATTAAGCTCTGGCACAGCAGCAGCCTGGCAAGTTTGAGGTCCTGAGTTAAATTCTCGGTACCCCCTCAAAGAACAGGGATAAAATAATGACACGGGGTAAACATCATTTTCCTATCTGTACATAAGGGTATAGGTATATGTTACTATAAATTTTTTTCATTTAAAAAGTGGTGGGGCCAGGGAGATGGCTCAGTAGAATAAGCGCTTCCCTGGCAAACGTGAGGGCCTGAGTTCAACCCCTGGTTCTGCAAAAATAAATAAATAAAAAAGTGGTACACAACTAGTATCAATTGTAGTCCCTGCTGCTCAGGAGCCGAAGTCAGGAAGATCATTTTAACCCTGGAGTTAAAGACCAATCTAGGCAACATCAAAAGACCCTTATCTTTGAATTCAGAAAAAAGAAAGACTTGAATATGGCTCAGAGGTAGAGAGAGTGCTTTCTGCATGCTTGAATCCCTGAGTTGGATCTCTAGCGGTGCAAATAATTTAAAGCACTTCGCTTTGTGGTGCACCCTATGATCTTAGCCCTGGGAGGCTGAGGAAGGAGGATGACAAATTTGAGACCAGCCCGGACAATTTAGGGAGACCCTGTCTCTAACAAACAGCACTGGGATGTAGTTTAGTGAAAGCCTCTGTTCAATTCCCAGTATTGGAACAAAATCTTCTAAATGACACGTAACTTTGTAGCAGCCATTCAAGACTCTATCTTGAAACTCAGTTGGTGCTTGACTGAACTATTGCTCTTAGCCCTACAGACCTGAGCTCCAACACTGTAGCTGTCCCCGCTGAGAGCCTGCTTTGCAGCCACACGGGGAGGCTTTCCTACTGCTCTGCTCTGTGCTGCCGGCTGTGGGCTGAGCACTTGAGATGCTGTTAATTTATTTTTTGTTCCAGGGGTTGAACTCAGGACCTTGTGCATGCCACGCAGGCACTTGTGCCGCTGAGCTATTTCCCTGGTTAGCAGAGCGATGGTGAAGTAGGCCCATTTTCTAGAAGGGGCGGCCCAGCAAGTGAGGTTCTCTTCATGGAGGGAAAGTGAGATGAAGCTCAGCTGGTGATTTTGATTTCTCTCAGAGCTGACTCGTGGGTCAGCACACTTGAGTAGGCATGCGCTGGAGGCAGGTAGTCCCCGTGTCCTCTGCTCCCCGCCTGGTGGACTGCCATGATCTGAGGGAGAGGCTACGTGTCACATGGGGTGCCAAGTGGCTCTCAGGAAACTCCTGCTTATTTCTACCTGCCCAGAGGCAGGGCTGCAGGAGTCAGGCCAGTTCATGGTGACCCTGAGTAGCCATCTTGAGTGGATGGCCCAAGAACAACCCGGGTAGCTGAGTGCCCAGGCTTCCTTGTTAGCTGATGCCCTCCCAGACCTTCAGGTGTAGAGGGTGGGTACTGGCAGACTGCAGAAAATGTTCACCAATGAATGCCATTGGCACTTTCCCTGGCCCTGGGCAGTGCCCGGTCCCGCCCAGCTCCTTAAGTACTTGTCTAGGGTTAGAATCCAATTACTGCTTCTGGCTATGAAACCAGGGTAGAGTTCTATCCTGAACTTTTAATCTTGAGCTCACTTGCCTCCTTAACCAGCAGGTTTCAGGAAACTAAAATGGTTCACTAACAATGCTGTTAACACGATGCCTGATTAAGTTCAACTGCAAGTTCCAGGGTCTTCAGGAAACCTTGATACAGTCCAGAATGAGACCTGAGCAGGACTAAGCGTCCCAGCCAAAATCCAGGCGTGCTAGGGTGTGCTGATGACCCAGCTGTTCAGGAGACTGAGCCAGGAGAATGACTTGGGCCTAGGAATTCAAGGCCAGCGTGGGCAACGCAGCAGGCGCCCCTGCACTGGGGAAAAAGATCCCTGCTAGCTGCTCGGAATGGCTGAGTTCGCAGCTCTCGAGCTCTGAAGCCTAGGGCAAGGGTCGCTTCTTGCCTGCACAACCCTCGTTTTCAAGGATGGGCATTTATTGGCAACAGTTGAGGAAGGAGGGGGAGCTGTGTCTGGGCTGACAGAGCTGCTGTGGAGAGCTTGTGTTGAGTCACCAAGCTGTTTCCCGTAATACAGAGTGACCCCTTGGACTGGAGCTCAGGAAAGAGTTTTCTTAGGAATAAAAATTCCTAAAACTGGGCTGGTGAGATGGCTCAGTGGTCTAAAGCACCTACTTAGAACAAGCTTAGCAAAGCACAGGGACCACGGTTCAATCCCCAGCACCACTGCCAGCCAGCCCCGCCCCCCTGGTGGGCTGAGCTGGCCACACACACAAATAAAATTTTAAAAAAAATTCCTAAAACTGCCCAGGAGATGGCTCAGTGGAATAAGCGCTTCCCTGGCAAGGGCAAGGGCCTGAGTTCAATCCCCAGTTCCACAAAAAAAAAAAATCCTAAAACCTTGTCATTAGAAAAGGGGATTT